TCTATTGATTTATGCACAGGTTCCAAACCCTCCACTGCCATCAAATCAATTCCCACTGATAGCGATTTCTGAGTCCGTAAATCTTTTACAGCATCAGATAGCCTCCTCCTCCTCCTAAATGTATAGGTTCTAAATGAGCACAATTAAGTATCATGGTATTCCTATTTTCTAAAATGTTATGTATAAATTGCCATGATCCTCACAGTACAGTTAAGAATCCTTTGTATAGTTAAGAAAAAACACAGCGTGTGCTTGCTATTATTGTGTGGATAATTTCTACTGAATTAAGACAAGTTAGCCAGAGGAAGCACTGCCTGAAAATATTATTAACTTTTTTGTATTGTGTATTATTACTAGCATTTAATTAATATATTAATAACTGTTGAAAGATACTTGTGCTTTAATCTCAAGTAAGTACATTTATCACTAAAATTTCAGTGTACCCAGTGGAATATTTTTATATATTTTTGTGGTGGAAAGTTTTATATATATATATATATATATCCCACTTCAACAGTTTTACAAAAGCAAGTTAGTGATATTAATTATTTTCAACACATTCACCCATTTCCACTTCCATTTCCAAATATTTCCATTACAAAAGCAACTTTTGAACTGAGATATCAATGAAACATCAAGGAGCCAGTAATTAAATATCAAGAGGGAGAGTATTTTCCTCAGAAAGGAATCAACAAATGCAAATGCAAAGGTTCTGTGAGAACTTAGGATGCTCAAGGAACAGAGACAATATCTCTGGGTTTGGAACAGGATGACTGGAGGGGTGAGTGGCAGAGATGTGGCTGAGAAAGTGGCCAGAGACCAATTCACATAAGGCTTTGGGAGCTTTTGCTGCAAGTGTTTGCGTTTTATCCTATGCCTGCCTCAGTTTCCAATTCTGTGTATCTTTATTAGAGTGGAAAATCTGATCTTTCTCCTGCGGAGCAGTCGGTGGTTTTGAACTGCTGACCTTGCAGTTAGCAGCCTGATTTATAAGCACTATGCCACCATCATTTAATTAACCAAGTCCTGATTATGAGCCTTGCTTTTTCTTCATTTTCCATCACTTTGAATAGTGATGCAATGAATTTCCCTATGTCTATCATGGCACCGAGAAATCTGTGCCATCCAGTCAATTCCAACACCTGGTGATCCAGTGAGTTACAGAGCAGACTGCTCCACAGTGTTTTCTTCACAATGTCTACAGAAGGAGAACTTACTAGATGGGTTCAAGCTGCCATCTTTTAGGTTATTAGTCCAGTGCAAAACCATTTGCTCCATCCAGGGACTAACTGCACCTAGATAAATCTATAATATAATGTGGATTTCCAGGGTCAAAAATTATCCTCATTTTTCATTTTGGTAGACACTACTCATAAAAAGTTATAGCCATCCACTCCTAATTTCAGTAATGATGCTAACAAAAATGGATTCTATGCAATTTTTAAAATATTTGTCAGGCAAATAGATAAAAAACTATCTTCTCATAATAAGTGGTTTGCCATATTTTCCTTATAATTCTATCACTTTTTTCTTTATGTATGTAAATCGACAGTAGATAAATACTGGCAGGTGTTTGTTTTTCTTTTGAGTAAATTGTCCTCATTATTGTTATTATGAACTAGTATGATAGTATTTATACCTATGGATGCCTTTTATATTAAATGTGTTTTATCTGATACTGATAAGCTATTTAGCTTTCTTTGGGTTATATTTAATGGTATATCTTTTTTCATTCTTTGTGTTCAACCTTTTATGTAATTATAGTCTAAGTGCACATCTTGTAAGCATCATATATTATGATTTTGTATTCAAAAGTCTGTTTCTAATGATGAATTGAAGCCATATTGACATTATTTGCAATTACTCAAATATTTTGTGATTTTTCTTTGCCTCTCTTGATCCTTTCTCCTAACTCCAAATGATTTAATCAAAATCTCTTTCTCTTATACCCTCACCACCAATTTAGGAGTTAAAAAATCTATAGCCCTCATTTTAAGGGTTACACCTAAACTGTTTCCACTTATACTTTATATAGAAAGTCTGAAATGTTTAATGTTTCTATTCTCCTAATTACCAATACAAGAACTTTACATTTTAATTTAATTCCACTTTTTTATTATATATCATAGTTCATAGGATTTTAATTCACCTTGGCAAAATACCCCAAACCAAAAGACAAATCATTCATGTTGAATTTATTCTGAGAAATGCTGGCCTAACATGTGACAGAGTGCAACTGGGTTTTCTTGGCTGTAATCTTTATGGAAGTTGATCACCAACTACTTCATTGACTGTGTCACTGGGTCGATTTCAACTGCCAATCTGTTGGTTAGTCATCCAGTAGAAATCATTTGTACCACTAAGGAACATTGCTATTATTGTTATTATTAATATTTCTGTTTTTTACTATATATACAATATGTCTACAACAAATCATGGAAAAATGGAACTTTCCCAGGAACTTTCTGAAAATGCTTTACATATATTTCTTGGCTAAGCATTGCTTCATAAACTTTGGTTCTCCCTGGGCTTAATTTGCTTTCTTCTGAAATATATCAATCAAAGATCATGCCTGGTGGACTCTCTCAATCTTTATATAACATGGAAAGACTCAGGAGAGATACCTTGAACTGAGTCTACAAATATGAGTTAACTGTAAACACTGGTACAGTGGGCTGCACTGTGCTGCTAAGCACAAGGGCAGTAGTTTGAGCCCACCAGTCAATTCATTGGAGAAGGATGAGGCAATCTCCTCCTGTGAAGATTTACAACGGTGGGAAATCACAGGGCACTTCTAATCTATCAATAGAGGTGCTATGAATCATATTTGAGTTTGTAGCCATGATTCCTTAGTTTTGGAAACACTTGGTCAGGGGTACAAGATGCAGCACATATATAACATGATGTGTTTATTGGACATGATTTCATTTAACCTCCCAGATTGTTTTTCATAGTGTAGCATTCATATAACTTTCCCCTTTGATGCTTCCAGACAAGTCATCCCCATGGAACCAAGGAACCAGACCAGTGCATCTGAGTTCATCCTTCTGGGACTTGCAGAAAATCCAGACCAGGAGACGCTCCTCTTTGCTCTCTTCTTCTGCATGTATGTCATCACAGCTGTGGGGAACCTCTTGATCATCCTGGCCATCAGCTCTGACTCCCAGCTTCACACTCCCATGTACTTCTTCCTTGCAAACCTCTCCTTGGTTGATTTCTGCCTGGCCACCGACACTGTCCCCAAGATGCTGATGAGCATCCAAACAAGGAGCAAGTCCATCTCCTATCCTGGTTGCCTGACCCAGATGTACTTTTTCCATTTCTTTGGCATCATGGACAGTGTTTTAATTGCTGTGATGGCTTATGATCGGTTCGTAGCCATATGCCACCCCTTGCACTACACTACCATCATGAGCCCACGGGTCTGTGGCTT